TATGTTTCTTTTTTCTTTTTTGTTCTGTTAATATACTTGTGTTAATATTGGAATAATATATATATATATATTAAAATAAATTTTAAATATTATAATAATTTTATTATATTTTTATTTTATTTTTTATCTAAATTTTTATTATATAAAATTTAAAATACTTGTTTATTATATATATATAATATAAAATAATATAAAAATACTATATATATAAAATAAATAATACATATATTAGAATAATAAAATTTAAAATATATATAGTAGAAATAATATAAAAATAATTTTTAATAAATAAAAAAAAACTTAATATTAAAATAAATTTTAAATATTATAATAATTTTATTATATTTTTATTTTATTTTTTTATCTAAATTTTTATTATATAAAATTTTAAATACTTTCTTATTTATATATTATTATATGTAATATTTTACGATAAAATAAAAATAAAAAATTTATATAAATTTATATATAAAAAAAATAATATAAAATATATATATATATATTATAATATAAAATAATATAATGTAATATAAATAATATATATAATAGAATATAATAAAATATGAAATATATATATATATATATATATATAATAGAAATAATATAAATCTAATATAAAAATTGTAATTAAAATTGAAAAATAATATTTAATAAACAAAACAAAAAACGATTTTAGTAGCCTCCCACATAAGATGTGTTAATATTTAGAGAAAAAAAACTATTTTTATACAATTTTTAATAAACAACATGAGTACACTAACAAACATGCACTAAAATACAAATAAAATTTCTAATAAAATTACCTATCTAATTACAACAAAATAAAATAATAAAAATAAATAATCAAATAGTTAATAATAATAATAATAATAATAATAATAAATATAATTGACATAATGTGTGTCTTATTAGTGTACCAATTTGATAATCTCTTATCAACTTTAATAAAAAGAAATATGTCAGTATGAAACTATCCGTTTCTTTTCTTTTTTTTTTTTTTTTTTTTTTTTTAAAGTAAAATGATTACTAGGTGAGAGATAGAATGTAAAATTTTGTTTAAACCACATTTGACCTCTGGAAGAAACGCATGACATGGAAGCAGAGAATGATAAAGGACGATAACGAGCCGTGATCTCGTCAATTACTTTCATGTCAGTGTGTGATCTATGTATGTATACATAATATCGTACATCAAATTGTGTCGGACAACGTGTTAAAATACTTTCCTAACTCTTTTTTTATTATTTTTAATTTTAATTTTCCTTCTTTTTCTACATATATATATATATATATATATTTTTTAATTAAAATAAAAAAGTTGTACTTCAATACGAGAACTAATGGTACACGTAATTACTTCTTTCTATATATATATATATATTTTATTCATTAAAAAAGTATGAAATTCTCTCATTTTCTTCTGGCTTTAAGTTTGTAACTATTGGAATTAAAGAAAAAAGAAGAAAGAAGGAAAAAAAAAAATAAAAGGGAGAGAATGAGAGAACTTGTAGAAAAGAAAAGAAAAGAAAAGAAAGTCTCAGGGATTAGAAAATCTTATTTTCTTTCTCATGGATCTAAAGCTTTAATTTCGTCTTTCTTCTTTATCTCTTTCTCTTCTTCTTCTTCTTCTTTTTCTTTCTCTTTTTTCTTTTTCTATTTTTTAGGGGGCTTTTTTTAAATTTCTTTCTTTTTTTTTTTTAATCATTCGACACATATAAAACATCATTTTGATTAAGAATTTGAATCACTTTTTTTTACTGTTTCAGTTAAAATATTTTAATACGATGGTTAATTAAATAAAATAGAAAAGAAAAATAGATAGAATTATTGATTTCTTTTTTTTTTTTTTTTGGTGTTTCTTTTGATAAAAAACACAATCTGATAGATTGTCAAGTGTGTGGGAGGAAAAAGAAAGGATAGAAAGATGAGAGAGAAAAAGAGAAAGAAAAAGAAACAGACTGACTGACTGACTGACGGACTGTCTGACAGACAGATGAGAGAATGAGATTGAAAACAAAGATAACGAGATAAAGAAAAGAGACAAAGATAGATAGAGCAGATGGATAGAAACAAACGTTAGAGAGAAAACGGTGTAAAATGTAAAATCAAGAAGAAGACAGGTAGACAGTGTAGAAATGGAAAACAAAGAATACAAAGTATACAAAATGTAAATTCACGTGGGTGAACAAAGATATAGATATACCAAATATTACGAGAAAAAAAGATATAGAAGGAACCAAAAACAAAAAAAATATTATAAAAAATTATACAAAAATTATAAAACATCAAATATACGAAAGCAGAGAAAAAGAAGTGGGAGGCTACGAAATAAAAAAATACAAATAATGATAAGAGACACACACAGATACATTGAATATTAAGAGAGAAAAAGATAAAGAAGGAACCAAAAAGAAAAATTATAAAAAATTATAAAAAATCAAATATATGAAAGCAGGGAAAAAGAAGTGGGGTGGTTATGAAATGCAAAATGAAAATAATGATAAGAGACACCAGATAGATTGAATATTAAGAGAGAAAAAGAGATAAAGAAAGAACCAAAAAAAAATGATAAAAAATTACACAAAAATTATAAAAAATCAAATATACGAAAGTAAAGAAAACGAAGTGGGTAATCAACAAATAAAAAAAAATAAAAGTAATGATAGAAAGGTAAGAAAGGAGAGTTTGAGGAACGAGGTAAGAAAGGTGTGTGTGTGTGTATAAAAAAAAATATAAAAATAAAAAAAATTATACAAAAAATCATAAAAAAATCACAAATAATGATAGAAGAAAGGAAGAAAGGTACGAAAGGGGGAAGTGTGAGGAGGGTTTACGAAATTTATTTAAAAAAAAATGATAGAAAGGTATGAAAGGTGGTGGGGAAGAAAGGGGATAGGGGAAGAAAGGTGTGTGTGTATCTTTATACAAAATAAAAAAAATGTTTCAATTAATACGATTTTTATAACATTTTTGAGCAAGTATATATATATATATATATATGTATATATAGCTTTTAGAGGCGTTTGACCCGACTTGAAGCCATTATTAGGATCGATAGAGCATTAGGAACGGCGGTTGAATTTCACAGGGTCGAAGGGTAGTAGAGAACGTTAATGCACGCAAACCGAAACGTTCTCTTCTCTTCTCCTAAGAGAACACGTGGCACGTAATATGTAAGTAAGTACTTCTTATTACAGATACAGTTAGATTTACAAATGTATATAAGGTAAATCAAAATGTTATTTCATTAAGAACAGATACAATTTTAATTATGCATATCAACAATTTTCTTTTACCTTTAAATCGTTAACAGAATGACATAAGTTACCTTTAATCGTTAATCCTCTTAAAGATAGAATTGAAATGTAATTGTAAACCAAATAAGAGAGAAACGATAGTATATATAAGAAAATCAAAATGTTATTTCATTGAAAACAGATAGAATTATATTTGGAACTGTTAATTTTAATCTTTTATCTTTAATCTCATTATCAGAATGGCAGAGGTGTTACTTTAATTCATTATCATTGGATAGAATACATACTTCTGTAAAAATAAAAATGAAATAAACGAAAGTATATAAAAATCGAAATGTTATTTAATCGTGAATCGTAATTTAATTTTTATATTTATATGTATTATTTTTATATATATTTATATTTTTATATTTTATATTTATATTATGTTTTATTTTATATTTATATGTATTATTTTTATAATTACATTTTTATATTTTATAATTATATTATATTTTATTTCATATTTATATGTACTATATTTATAATTATATTTTTATATTTTATATTAATATTTTATTTTATATTTATATGTATTATATTTATAATTATATTTTTATATTTTATATTTATGTTACATTTTGTATCTATATAATATTTTATTTTATATTTATATGTATTATAATTATAATTATATTTTTATATTTTATATTTATATTATATCTTATTTCATATTTATATGTGTGTATTATATTTATAATTATATGTTTATATTTTATCTTATATTTATATTATATTATTATATTAATTTTTCTTTTACTTTTAAATCGTTACCAAAATAGCAAAAGGTTACATTTAAAATTAATTAAGAAATAGAAAAAAAAAAAAAAAAAAACGAAAAATAAGGAAATATTTAAATTACACATATTATGTTTGTTACTTAATTTACACATGTGTTAAAAAATTTGATATAATAATAAAAAATTATAATATGTTGAACAATCTTATCTTACATTTTTATACCATTTCTAACATTCTTTAGTTTCATTTTTACTATATTACCTTTCTATTTCTGTAAAAAAAAAAAGAAAAAAAAAATGAAGTATTTACATATTAAGTACTTTTATTACTACGATTTATTCGATATGAACAACATAGAAAAAAAAAAATCCAATATAATAGATCGGATCTTAAGAATGATTCCATCTTTTTTACGTTTATACGTTTTCCAACATTTTTTTTTCTCCTTTCTCTTTCTCATACCCCATTACTTTACTCTTTCTACTAGAAAAACAAAAAAAAAAAAAGAAAGAAAAGAAATGAATAAGAAATGTTAGAGATCCATGTTATTTTCTCGTTTCGTACAAATTATCGTTGCGTGTCGCATGAACTTACTTAATAAATAAAAAAAAAAAAAACATATTTGATAGCTTTTAACATAAGCTCAACAAATACTCAATACTCTTACCTTATTTTACATATATTTTTTATATATATTATATTATATTATTATTATTATTGTTGTAATATTTGAGTTGATTTATGTGAGAAATATTTTGATGTTTATATATCGAATATGTAGAACAATGGTTTCGTGTTACCATCACCACGTTCTCCCTATTCATTTAAATTATGACAATGGGGAATTTTATTTTCCTCCATTTTTTTTTCTTTTTCTTTTTTATAAAAAAATTTATTTTATTGCACTTTTTTTTTGGTAATATCTTTAATCTTTTTTCTTTTTATATACCACGGATGATGCAGTTGTTGCAAAACGTGTGCCACCATGTGTGTCAGGTGGGTATTTGCACGAACACAAACTATAAACATAAAAAACACATGTAAAATATCAAAACGATGTAGTTAAGGATGAAAAAGAAAAGGAGGAGAGGGAGGGGGGGAAATAAAATAACATCCTTTGTTGCAATCGAGATATGTATATATACCTTAAGGGCATTATTATTGTAATAATATATGTCATAGATATTATTTTTATTTTTAGATCTTTTTCTTTTTCTCGTATCGTTTAGAATAATTTTTAAAAAATGTCATGAACCATGCATTTGACAAAAAAATATTCCTAACGATGATATTACTATTAAATGATTCTGAAAAATCTTGATATTAAAGTATAGAAATGATTTTGTACAAGTTGCTAAAAAGTTGATTTCGAAAATAGTTAATTTTTAACAAATAATCGAATATTAATGCAACATATATGTTGTATATTTAAACAAAATATTTCATGTACGTGTAATTTAATTATGAATTGTGTTAATAATAATACGTGAATACAAATAATTATTATTTAACTTTTTTAACAAAAATTATGACAAAAATCTTGTCATTAAAGTATTATTATATAATTAATATTTTAATATTAATATTATATACTTTATATTATTATATATAATTAATAAGTATTAGAGTATTTTAAATTTTTATTAATTAATTAAATATTTTTAATAATTTTAATATAATTTTTATTTATATTTATATTTATATTTATATTAAATTTAATTTATAATTTAATTTTATAATTATATATATTTATAAATTAATTTATAATTATATTTATATTATATTTAATTTATATTCAATATAATATAAATATAATTAATAATTAATTTATATTAAATATAATTTATATTTATATTTTGTATTATTACAAAATTTAATTAATAATTTAATTTTATAATAATATACATTTATAAAAAATAATTTATAATTATAATTATATTATACTTAATTTATATTAAATATAATTTTTATATTTAAATAATTTTGATAATTAATATAAATATTATATAATTTATATTATATAATTAATAAATAATATAATATTTTCAATTTTTTTTAATTAATTAAATATTTTTAATAATTTAAATATAATGTATATTTATATTTCTATTTATATTAAATTTAATTTATAATGTAATTTTTTATAATTATATATATCTATAAATTTATTTATAATTATATTTATGTAATATTTTATTTATATAAAATATAATTTTTATCTTTAAATAATTTTAATAATAACTATAAATATAATATAATTTTAAATTATGACATTATTTAACTATAAAAAAAAAAAAAAAAAAAAAACATAAAAATTGTGTTACACTTATTTTGATTATAATTGATAATTAAAAGATTTTAAATAATTTTTTTTTGTTACAAATAAATATTAAAATCTTGACTAACTTTTCTAAAAATATTTAATTGCTTTACGTAATATTCATGTAACAGATTATATAATAATTATCTAATTGTTAAAAATAAAAATAGATATATAATATATTCCTTTTTTTTTTTTTTTAATATAAATAATTGATTACGATTTGAAAGAACATTCAGGATTGATAACTGTCAGTAAAACTTGTGCCAATTAATCGATCAGCAGTATAAAGAGGTTTGATTTCGAACGGGGTATCTTTCGTGTTGATTGAAAATTCCCATTGAAATGGACAGACACACACACACACACACACACACACACACACATACACTTACACATAGGACTTTGCGATGAAATATTTATAATTACGTAAAATGTCCATTATCATTGGTTATCTGTAATCCATCAGAGGAGACAGATAGATAGAAAGAGAGAGAAAATACGATAATCTGCATAGTCTCTCGTTAATTTATTTCGAAAATTCATTAAAAATATAAAAGTGCAATGTGAAATACGTCGAACGAATTGAACAATTTTTTAATTAGACTGTAACTTGTCGATTTGAAATTGTTAGAAAAAAAAAAAGAAAAAAAAACAAAAAAGTATGTTTACGATTTAAATGATAAAAGAGACAAATAATTCACACAGATGTAAAATACTTTTACGTAACATTGATTGCTAAAAGGTTAGAACATCGGAATTAGTACTTTAATTGCTCACAAGATGTGGAAATGGATGTAATAGCAAACGATGACAAGGACAAATCATAAAATGGTCGTCTTCTTCATCTCTTTCCTATCCTCTTTTGCAATTGGGAATTCCTATTAAGAGTTGATATCCGAAAGGGGGTGGTTTTACTTGGCCCAATGTACATCAAACGTTCAAAGAATATTTTTTTTTTTTTTTTTTTTTTTAAATTCATTTCATAATTTTAATAAAATTGATTTTAACAAAAAATTAAAAACCATTTTCCGATTAATAGATTTCGAGATATTTTAAATAATACTTTTGTATATTTTTCTTTTTTTGTAGAAAAAAAATATTTAAATATTTAAATTTAATTACTATAGGTAAAATTTAAATTTAATATTATTAATTTATTATTTTTTATATTTATAAAAAATATCTATTTGAATAAATTTTTTTTATAGAAAGAAATATTTAAACAAATGAAATGTGTGCTTTATATAAAATACTGTAACATAAAATAAAAATAAAACATAATTTTAATTTAATGAACAAAAAACAGAAATTTTTTATTATAGAAATTTAAATTTGTAATAATACTTTTGTGTGTATTATTTTTTTTTTTTTACAGGAAAAAATATTTTTAAAAAATGTGCACTTTACGTTTAACAAAATATAAAATACAATAATTTGAATTTAATGAATGACAAAATTTGTTTCATTTATTGTAAATTTAATCTCGTTATATTTTTTTCTTTTCTTTTTTTTTTTTTTTTGGTATCTTGTTAATTTTTTGTTTTTCTTTTTTTAATGTTTTTTTTTTTTTTCTTTAAAATAATTGCTATAACGTAGAAAATGAATATTTCAATTAGTAAAGATCGATAAGTAATAACTCGTGTAGTGGAGGAAACATTATTAACTACGATGTCGTTTGATTTGCATATTGATAGTAGTTAGTAACTGGTTCCATGTTTGTTAGAAATGTAAATTGCTTTACCAGTGTTTCTAACACAGTATATTTCGTTTCCAAGTCCACTCCTATATATAGATAGAGGATTATAAACTGAAATTAACGATGCTATTTAGGAAAACTTTTATATCTAATCAAAATATCGTAAAGGATTATATTATCATGTATAGGATAATTCTGAAAATTTGGGTTCTTGAAAGAAAATTTAGTACGAATTTTTGTAATTATATATATTTTTTTTTTTTTAAATAAAATAGAATTAGATAAAATAACAATAAAATAAAACAAAACAATTATTTAAAATAAAAATAGAATAGAATTAAAATAAAAAAAATAAAAAAAATAATATAAAGTAATAATAGAATTAGATAAAATAAAAATAAAATAGAATAAAAATTTTAAATAAAAATAGAATAGAATTAAAATAAAATAAATAAAAAAAATAAAATAAAGTAATAATAGAATTGGATAAAATAAAAATAAAATAGAATAAAACAATTATTTAAAATAAAAATAGAATAGAATTAAAGTAAAATAAATAAATAAAAAAATAATATAAAATAATAATAGAATTAGATAAAATAAAAATAAAATAGAATAAAAATTTAAAATAAAAATAGAATAGAATTAAAATAAAAAAAAAAAAATAATATTATATTCATTCATTCATTCATAATTATGTCTTACAACGTTACTTTATTTATAGGATGCAGTAATTGTACTTAACCAAGTGTAATTGTATATTATTTTATTTTTTAATGACTCATTTCTCAGAATCATCCTCTATATATATATATATGTATGTATTATGTATTATCTGTTTCGTGAAGATGAATTATTTTCAAAGTGATAGACAATTCGTTTACAATCAATTACACACATATACGTGTATAATAATTAAATATAAAATGATCAATTTCGATAAGAAATATAATTCATCGTATTACGAATTTCATAAGCGGAATTAAATGAAAATCGTAAATTAAAACGTGTTCATCGTCATACTACGTTTTAATTTTATATAATTTATTTTAAGAGAGAAACACTGAGAGAAAGAGAGAGAGAGAGAGACAGATAGAATGCAAAGGATAAGGTTTGATATACATATATGTATATATGTATTATCGATATGGATTTAATTTGTTCTTATTTTAATAATCAACAGCTATTATCCATAGTAAAATAAAAAACTATTAACAGATATATCTATATATATATATATATGTCTGTAATTAATTTGATGTTTCCATCCGATGTTTTTTTAATAATCCTCTTGTATAACACTTTAATTTCATTTATCTTCTGTTTTTTTTTGTTTTTTTTTTTTTTACATTACGTTCAAAGAGGGTAATTAAATTCTTCGTTTAAGCTCGCAAGAAATTCCCTTTGGCAAATTTTATTCTTACAATTTAACAATAAAAAAAAAAAGAAAGAAAGAAAAAAGAAAACATAAGTAAAAGTATAATATATATATTAACGAATAGTTTTGAATAACACTATTAACAAAAAATACGATTTAACTATTTACCTATATTTTACTAGTAAATAAAAATAAAAAAAAGTAAAACTACGAACGTTATTTGTCAAGAATAAAAGTAGGAAAAAAATAATTTCTTTTTTAATTTATAAAAAAATAAAATTGATTAATCGAATAAAATACAATTTAACTATTAGCCTACATTTTACTAGAAACTAAAAATAAAAAAAAGTAAAACTACGAACTTTATTTGTCGAAAACAAAATAGGAAAAGAATAATTTCTTATTATTTTTTTTTTTTAAATAAATATAACATATAATAATGATAATAATTATATAAAATGATATAATAATAATCGTATAAATTAATATAAATGTTTCTCCTTATATCGTTTAAATTAAATAAATCTAAAAATGTGTATATTACGAATTATTATTATAAAATTAAATTAACAAATTATTAAAAATTTTTTTAAAAATAA